GCATTGCTGAAGGTGGAATTCCCTATGGTACACGGGACTGTAAAAGTGCCAAGATCCTTGCATTTTTGTGGAAGGTTTGGTTGAATGAGGGCTGACACATTTCTACCCATGCTAATCCTCTCATCTCCCTTGAGTCGCCTCTTGTTGGTGCACAACTCCTTGAGGAATTTTGCATATTTCGGAATTTGTTTTATGGCATCTAGAAGTGGAATGTTCACTTCTACTCTTCTGAAGGTTTCAAAAAGTTCCTTATCAAGATCTGTTATTACCTTAGGATTAGTCACTCTATTGGGAAAAGGGAGAGGTGGCTTATACACAACTTCAGAATCACTTTGAGAAGGTGCAGCCGCAGCTTGTTTTCCTTTGTCTTCTTGCTGCATCTTAGTTTCAACATCACATGGCATCTCCTTATTTTTCTGGCCATCCAACAGCTCCTTCCCACTCCTCAACACAATAGCACTCACATTTCTAGGATTAATCTCTGGTTGAGAAGGGAGTTGTCCAGAACCTTGGGACTTAAACTAATATACAGTGGTAGCTAGTTGACCAATCTGAGTCTGTAAGTCTTGAATGGAAGCATTCACATTTTGCTGAAATTGCAGGTTGCTCTTTGCCATTTGCTTCACCAGGTCCTCCAATGAAGGTTCAGAATTTTGTTGTTGTTGTCTCATAGGAGGTGGTCTATAAGCTCCACTTGCTTGTCCAGTGCCCTGTTGCTGTTCAGAAACACCATATCTCATGTTAGGATGATCATTAAATGCAGGGTTATGAGATTGATACTGAAATCTGTAGGGGTGCTGCTGCCTCATTTGTGGTTGCTGGAAGTTGGAAGCTCTATATTGATCTTGTCTTCCGCTAAAAACTCCTTGGACAGAGGCTTGTTGATTTCCCTCTTGAAGCAAAGGACAACAATCCGAAGCATGCTCAATGGAAGAACATATTTGACAATCTCTCGGCCTTTGTGGTGCAGCTTGTTGGGCAACAGCTAGTTGCCTCACAAATGTGGTAAGCTCTTCGATTCTGCTCTCAAGTCTATTCTCTGCTGGCATATGGTAGGTTTGATGGACATTGTGAACCTCTCTCGTAGGTGTCATGGCTCTTGTGCTAAACTGTTGAGAGTTCTCTGCCATGTTATCAATCAAAGCCCTTGCTACACTAGGTGTCTTATCCATCAAGGCTCCACCACTGGCTGCATCAAGCATACTCCTTTCCATTGGAGCAAGGCCTTCATAAAAGTATTGAATGAGTAACTGGTCACTAATCTGATGGTGTGGACAGGTGGCACACAACTTCTTGAACCTCTCCCAGTACTCATACAAACTCTCTTGGGAGATCTGTCTGATGCCACTTATCTCCTTTCTTATAGTTGCAGCTCTGGATGCAGGGAAGAACTTCTCCAGAAACATCCTCTTCATGTCCATCCAGCATGTGACAGACCCTGGCTGCAAGTAATACAACCAATCCTTGGCTGCTCCATCTAGTGAGAAAGGAAAAGCCTTCAGCTTGATATGATCTTCAGGAACTCCCTGCGGCCTCATAGTCGAGCACACTATATGAAACTCCTTAAGGTGTTTGTAAGGATCTTCACCTGCACTACCATTAAAATTAGGCAAAAGGTGGATTAGTCCAGACTTAAGCTCAAAAGGAACATCTATATCAGGATATTGAATGCCTAATGGTTGGTAGGTAACATCAGGTGCAGCTAACTCCTTAAGTGTTCTCTCATGATTATTATGTGCCATGGTATCAGAATGAGTGGACAATGTATCGGAAATAGAAGTGCCAAATTCAGAATCACTAAAATAAGAATCACTGCTCAGATCAAGTCTACAATGCTCTCTACGATAACTCCTATCTCTACTACTATGATGCACACTACTTTGACCTCTCTGGAGTCTATGATATGTCCTATCTATCTCAGGATCAATGTCAAACAAATGCACAGACCTGGACCTAGTCATACAAAATCACAAACATCAAAAACAGCAAGCACACAATGCATGAATAATGTCACTTTACAAAGAAAGTACCAAGCAGAGGTGGGAAAATTGAAATCTAACTTGATGATAAATCTATTTTTGATGTAAGATGACACCACAAAAAAATTTCAGATTCTTTTGAGCACGGCAACTTGGTCAACTAGATACCTAAAGTCAAGAAAAATAGGTCAATAAATGCTTAAAAATAAAAAACTTTTAGAAAACGGGCGATTTTTGAAAATTGGGGAAATCTCAACCGGCAGAGCGGGTTGCAGTGAATGGGAAATTTTGTTTTACCCCAAAGTCATTTGTCGTGGAAAAAATTTTGACACTCCTAGCAAAAGTTATGACACTTTTATGTTGCACAAAATTTTTCTTCACCACCAAGATGTATCTCTTTCTCTACACAAAAATTCAGGCCAAAATTCGACCATTTACTATTTTTTTGGAATTTTTCAAAATCAGTGAGTAGTGGATGAATAGTAAATGAATAGTGCAATTCAGCAATTCAGCAAGGCAAACACGATTTCTACTACTCCTCTGTTTTTGGTTTCTACTAGTCCTCTGTTTTCGCAGGCAGCACATAGTACGGAACCAAAATGCAACTAATCACTCACTCCAATAAATGCAAATCGAATTGAACTCAATGGAATAATGGAACATGCAATCAAACACAACACAATTGAACAACAAAATAGAAACGATTCCTATTACTCCTCTATTTTTTTTTCTGATTTCTGTTTTCAGCATGCATACAATACAACATACACAAAATGCTATTGGATTTAATCACACACTCAAAAACATGAATTAACCAAATCAAATGCAAATGCAAATCAATGCATTACAAGTACAGAATATAATTCTCACAGAATGAAGAACACTTGAACGCAGAAACTATCAAAATCTATACAACACACAAAACGGAAATGCTACACAACTAACAACTCGAAAATGAATCAAAAGCTACGTGTCCCTGGCAACGGCGCCAAATTTGATATAGCTTTATCGAACACTTATCAAATGCACAAGGTTTTTGCAATTATTTGTAGAATAATGTCAACGAAGGTCGAATTCTCAAGGACACGTTTGTATCTAATTCTTCTTTGCCGAATTGTTAAAATGAAACAAAAGATTGGGGAATTTTGAGAGTTTAAGAATAATCTGATCAAACGCATAAAATTCTGGAATAAAAGAGAAATCTAATGAGAATTAATTGATCCACAAGTCATAGGTTCATGCAAACAACATCCTTCATTGTTTCCCTAATTTGAACATCTAATCCATTAACTAATTCAATCGAATTTGCTAACAAACTAGATTATGAATTTGACTAATAGATCTATCAATCTAATTCAATTTCATGAATCAAACTACAATCGCAATTCAATTCAATTCCTATCGCCAAACGTTATCAATATCTTGAAAAATGAAAGAGAAGAGGAGAAAAGAGAATTCAAACTTGGAGCCACTCTGAATCTTCCTTGCAATTCCCTATTCCTTGTGTATCAATCCGAGAAGCCTAGCCTTCCATTGAATCCAATGCTCAGCCAAGTCAAGAAGAGAGAAGAAAACGAAAAGTCACACCAAAAGAAGAGAGAGAATTCGAGAGAGAATTTTAGGAGCCAAAACCGAATTTTAAAAAGTGTGTTAAAACAAAAAAACCAAAAAAAAAACCTCCATCAAAGTGGAGCCTCTAACATATTAATAGGCACCACTTATGATCAAATCCAACACTAAAAGGAAGGGCCCACAAGTGTGATTAAACAGCCCAAATTACAAGCTAATGAAATGTTAATACAAATGAAATGAAATTACAAGAACAAAATTCGAATACAAAATTTCCTGCACAATTTTCCTAACTTCAAAAATTCATAGAAAATATAAAACAGCTTCAATTTGGACGATCTGCACATGAATTTTATAGCCCAGAAAATGAGGAATCCAATGCAACTGGAATCATACTGAACGGACATCTGTGGAAAAAGTTACGATCAAAACAGTGAGTGCAGGTCTGAAAACAGAATTTAGACATTAATTGAAATTTAGTTCCTATCATCCAATTAACTAGGAAATGCCATAATTTGTGAAATAAGGGAACATGAAAGGTAATTTACACACTCTAAAGGATTGAAAATGTGCACAAATAATGCATGCTATCAACATGATTCATCAAACACAAATTCAATTTTCTTGACAAGTAAATCACTAAGAGGTTTTGTTATTTTTGAAAAGTCTTTCATAAACCTCCTATAAAAACCTGCATGGCCTAAGAAACTCCTAATTCCTTGAACATTAATTGGTGGAGGTAGTTTACTAATGACTTCAATTTTGGCTTGGTCCACATCAATTCCTTTTTTCAGAAATTCTATGGCCAAGGACTATTCCCTCTTGGACCATAAAATGACACTTTTCCCAATTCAGCACAAGGTTTGTATCTTGACATCTCTGCAAAACAATGGACAAATTAGATAGACAATCATCAAAAGAATTGCCAAATACAGAAAAATCATCCATGAAGACCTCAATGATCTTTTCTACTAAATCTGAAAAAATGGACAGCATGCACCTTTGGAATGTGGCTGGAGCATTGCACAGTCCAAATGACATCCTTTTATATGCAAATACTCCAAATGGACATGTGAAGAAAGTCTTCTCTTGATCTACTGGATCCACCGCTATTTGATTATAGCCTGAATATCCATCAAGAAAGCAATAAAGTGCATGTCCAGCCAATCTTTCTAACATTTGATCAGCAAATGGTAATGGAAAATGATCCTTCCTTGTTGCATCATTAAGCTTTCTATAATCAATGCACATGCACCAGCCCGTTACAGTTCTAGTGGGTATTAATTCATTCTTTTCATTTGCCACTACAGTTATTCCTCCTTTCTTAGGAACAACTTGAACTGGGCTGACCCATTGACTATCTGAAATTGGGTAGATTATTCCTGCATCCAATAGCTTCATTACCTCTTTTCTAACCACTTCCTTCATAGCTGAATTCAACCTTCTTTGTGGCTATATTACTGGCTTGTAGTTGTCCTCAAACAGAATTCCATGTCTACAAAAGGATGGGTTAATACCTTTCAAATCTGAGATGTGCCATCCAATTGCAGATTTGTGATTCCTTAAAATTCTCAGCAGCTTTTCTTCTTCATCTCCCTTGAGATTATTGCTTATAATCACTGGATATTGATGTCCTTGATCCAGAAAAGAGTACCTCAAGTGAGATGGTAATTGTTTCAGCTCAACTTTCTCCATTTTCTCCTTTTCCTCTTCCTTTTTCAGCTCCTCTCTTGCTGAATTTTTGGATAAAGGGATAATAGGCAGTGTTTCAAGTTGCTGAACATATTCCATGAATTTTTCTTCTCTTTTTACAGCAGCTTGTGAATTCCCTGCAACTATAATTTCCCTTAACATAGAAAATTCGTCAACATTATCAATTAATTGAGGAAATGACATAGATTCTAAAATATCAACTCTCATACAAGTGCTATCATCACTAGGATGTTTAAGTGCTTCAAAAACATTAAATGTAACCTTTTCATCTTGCACTCTAAGCATTAATTCCCCCTTTTGCACATCAATCAAAGCTCTCCCTGTAGCTAAGAAAGGTCTGCCCAATATTAAAGGAATATCGGCATCCACCTCCATATCTAAAATGACAAAATCTGCAGGGAAAATAAACTTGTCAATTTTTACCAATAAATCCTCTACAATACCATATGAATAAGTAAACGATCTGTCTGCAAGTTGTAGAGTGATGCTTGTTGGCTTGACTTCCTCTATTCCAAGTCTTTTCATTATGGCAAGAGGCATAAGGTTGATGCTTGCCCCAAGATCACACAAACCTTTTCCTATTGTACAACTTCCAATAGAGCATGGAATGCTGAATGAGCCTGGATCTTTTAATTTTTGAGGCAGCTTTCTCTGCAAAATAGCACTACATTCTTCAGTCAAAGGGACTGTCTTGTCATTTTCTAACTTTCTCTTCTTGGAAAGCAACTCCTTCATGAATTTTGCATATGAAGGCATTTGTTCTAATGCTTCAGCAAATGGTATATTAATTTGGAGCTTCTTGAAGACGTCTAGAAATCTCTCATACTGCCTTTCTTGCTTAGGATTAGTAACTCTTTGTGGATAAGGCAGTTGCTTGTATTTTTCTTCATCTAGAGGCTTGTTTGAGTCTTCTAAAATTTGCCTCTTTGTTCTTCTCACAGTTTTAGGGAAGGTATCAATTTTTGAATTTTCTCTTTTTAATAGTGTGAAGTTCCCTTCCTCTAGTTCAGATTTAATCTTCTCTTCTTCCTTGGTTTTCTCTCTCTTCTCAGCTAGTTTTGGACTACCCACAATAGGTCCACTTCTAGTCATCACAGCTTGGCATTGTTCTTTTGGATTTATAACTGTGTTGCTAGGAAATCTCCCATCTTCTCTGCTGGATAGTTGCTCAGCTAACTGTTCAATCTGTGTTTCCAATTTCTTCATGGATGATTCTTGATTCTTGAAGCTTGTTTGTGTTACTTTCATGAATTGCAGCATGGTTTCTTCCATTTCGTTCAGCCTTTCATTCAGTGGTTTAGAAAACCTCTGATTTTTTTGAAGTTGGTTGGCTAGATTCCCTTTGAAATAAGGTTGTTGAGCTGCTGGTCCTGCATTTGAAAATGGAACAGTAGAGTTAGAATTTTTCCAATTAGAATTTTGGGTATTCCAGCTATGTTGCTACTGGTTTCTATTATTAGAGAATTGAAAACTAGGAGGAAATGAAGATTGTTGTCTTTGAAAATTTCCCATATAATTGACATGTTCTTGAGATTCAGAATTATTTCCATCACAAGCTCCGTTTACATGATTCCCTCCACAAAATCACACACAAGTGGATTATTCTGGGTTGGTGCAGCTTGTAAGTTGCTGATTTGTTGGGTGAGTGCAGCTATTTGCTCAAAAAATAGTTGATTTTGCAGCTGATTTTGAGTCAAAAAAGTCTCAAGAAGTTTTGCCTCATAGCCATTACTCCTTGTTGATTGTCTCAAACTACAGCTTTGATGCATGAAGGAGGCCATCATATCTATAATTCCTTGAGCTTCTTCTAGTGATTTGGTGTTCAAAGAACCTCTTGCAGCTGCATCTATCATGGTTCTAGTTGCTGGATTCATCCCATTATAAAAGGTTTCAAGTTGCATCCATTCCGGTATGCAATGATGTGGACATCTTCTCAAGAGTTCCTTGTATCGCTCCCATGCCTCATATAAGGTTTCTCCCTCTTGCTGCATGAAGGATGTGATCTCTCTTCTTAACTTTGCAACCTTCGAAGGTGGGAAATATTTAGAGAAAACTTTATTGACCAGATCTGTCCAAGTAGTTATACTCCCTTGTGGTTGGGCTTGGAGCCAACATTTTGCCTTGTCCCTCAAAGAAAATGGAAACAATCTTAATCTGATTTCATCTTCGCTAACTCCATTGATTCTTATAGTATCACATAATTGCAGAAAATTAGAAATATGTAAGTTAGGATTATCTAAAATTAAAGTAAGGCAGGTTTAATCTCAAAATGGTTGGCTTGAATGGTTGGTCTGACAATAAAAGAGCTGTATCCATGCATATTAGGTACTCCATAGTCTCCTAAAGTCCTTTGTCTATGTGGTTTAGCCATCTTTGCTTCTAAATTTACAGATGAAGTTGGAGAATTGACTTGTTTTTCTGCTGAGTTTGGTGAAGAAGGTGTAAACTGTGAATTCTACTTCTTTTTAGCTGAGTTCTCTGCCCTTGATTCATTTCTTATCCTTCTCAATGTTCTGTTTATGTCTGGATCAAATACAAGAACATGTTTGTCTTTATTCTTCCCACGCATATAACACAAGGAAAACTAAACACAAACACTAATACTTGAACTTTGATTAGAACACAGAGCAGTAGAGTGCAGAGAAATTGCAATCAAAATATTCTTTAAAAGCTAAAGGAGATAACCTCTATTTATTTAAAAACAAAACAAAAATTTACAACAACTAATATATGTAAAATCACTACCAAAATTTAATACGAAATTGAACTATCACATAGAACTGAATTAAAAAAGAAAATAAATGGTACAATCTAGTTATCCTCTAGTTACTAATGATGTTAAAAACTAAGATCCCCGGCAACGGCGCCAAAAACTTGATACACCTTTTCTTATCTTAGTACTTAAATGATGTAATTCACTACTAGCAAGTGTACTAGGTAATTGTAGCAAGTTATAAAATGTGGAAATCAGATTGAGTCCCAAGTATCGTCCTCTAGGATCTTATTTTCAATCACCAATTCACAAGATAATAACCATTTGCACCAAACAATTCATTGAACAAATTTCAATATGCAAGAAAGTAAATTTCAGAATTAAAGAAATGAGAAATTGTTAGAAACAGAATGTTAATTTGTACTATTCGAATGAATTACGAATGAAAGAAAAGTTAGGAATTTATTTCACTAGAATATCAATATTAATTCAGTTCTGCCTTTGAACATTCAAGCAATTGATTGATTATCAATCGGTTTCTCTTTACAGTAACCAAAGATTGATTCCTCAATTCATTGGTCCTAATATTCAACCAAATCTCCCTAATTCCTTAGGCCAAATTTAGTTCAATATTGCATTACGAATTAGAACCAAAAGATTGCAAAACAAAGACCACTTATCCCTAAGAAAATCAATAGTTTTGGGAATTAATTCAGATCTAAGCAACAAACCCAATTTTCATTAGTGAAGGTTACTTTTTGATTAATCAATTGAACTTCCATTCAAAAAATCAAGTAAACACATAATTAATCCCTCAATCAAATCAAACACTCAAAGTTCAGAGTCAAAACGAAATCAATATATCAATTCTAGATCCATAAATCCCTAACAAAAAGAGTTAGAATCACATTACAATGAAATGGAGAGAAGAAAGAAGAAAAGAAGATAAAAAGCAGAGAGTCATCTCCATCACTTTATCTTCTCCCAGATTCCTCTAGCAAAGAAGAACAAAAGTCACTCCTATCTTCTCCCTCTGACTTCCCTTGGAAGTTAAAACAGTTACAACCGAATACCAAAACTAAAAAATGACCAAAAAGCTCTCTTTTTTCTAAGTTTCTAATTCCTATTTATAGAGTTCCTCTAATTCTTCAACTTAACCCTTGGAATTCTGAAAGTTAGTTATCCCCAAGTGTTCTGGAATCTTCTAAAAGTGATACAAAAGCTCCAAACGTCCAGATTGGTGGGAAAAAGAAGTTATAAAAATTTGCAGAGTGTTGTGCCAAAACGTGCAGTGACTGAACATCACTTCAATGAACGCTTCTGCCATATGCTCAGCTCTGCGTTGCTACGCCATCTGTTATGAGTAGCCACTCTTTGTTGCACGCCAAAGCTCCAGGTAATGTGCGTTTCAACGCAATGACAATTATCCAGTTTCAGTTGCTGGAGTGTTAACGCGTATCACTCAGAGTAGCCACGCAGATCCAGTGCTATATTTTCTTCTTTCCACGTTCAAACGCCAATCACTTGGAGTTTTAACGCCCAGCTCTTAGGATTTCTTCCAACTTGATTCTTTAACTTTTCTTCTTTAATTTCAGCTTTTAATCCTTCCTTTAAGCACTTTCAACAACTTTCCATCTTTTGCATGAACTCCTACAAAAATCTAAACAATTTTTAATATTTCAACAAAACAACAATTTATACTAATTATTTTATTTTTGTGATCTTTTCAAGTTATTTTTAGAACTATTTTCCTAATTATTAACCAAAAACTATGCTAAAAACATGGTAAAATATGGATTTATCACCCAAAAACTTGATACACCTTTTCTTATCTTAGTACTTAAATGATGTAATTCACTACTAGCAAGTGTACTAGGTAATTGTAGCAAGTTATAAAATGTGGAAATCAGATTAAGCCCCAAGTATCATCCTCTAGGATCTTATTTTCAATCACCAATTCACAAGATAATAACCATTTGCACCATACAACTCATTGAACAAATTTCAATATGCAAGAAAGTAAATTTCAGAATTAAAGAAATGAGAAATTGTTAGAAACAGAATGTTAATTTGTACTATTCGAATGAATTACGAATGGAAGAAAAGTTAGGAATTTATTTCACTAGAATATCGATATTAATTTAGTTCTGCCTCTGAACATTCAAGCAATTGATTGATTGTCAATCGGTTTCTCTTTACAATAACCAAAGATTGATTCCTCAATTCATTACAAGAGTCAAGCAGCAACACAATTAACATAAAACTTGACAGATCCAATTATGATGTATGGTCTTCGGTGGTCAAACTTCACCTCTCTAAGAAGGACAAAACGAGACACATAAACAGAGATGTACAGGAACCTACTGTGATAGATTCTACATATCGATGGTGGAAAATGGAGAATGCCACCGTTAAAGGCTTGATCTTGAACTCTTTGGACCAAAGTTTTGTGGGAAACTTCGTACGATTCTCTACTGCAAAGCAGGTGGGGGATGCTATTGCTACCAGCTATTTTGACAGTAATGACTCTTCTCAGATTTATGATCTCAAAAGGAAAGTTAATAGCGTGAAACAAGCAGGTGGAACGCTGTAGGCTTACTATAATTCTTTTCAAGGACTATAGAGAGAAATACATTTCCAGAGACCAAATCCAATGGTATGTAGTTATGTTAGAAGAGAGGACACATGACAGAGTGTGATGCTTGATCGCGAGTGTCGCGCTCGAACAAATTATTAAAAACCGAATTGCATAAAAATTATGTAGTAAGAGGTATAATCTGAGTCGTCTCCCAATGATGATAATGTTATACGATTATAAATTTAGATGGGTTTTGATTTGTAAAATAATGCTGATTAGAATACAAAGTTAACAAGAATTTAAAACTCTAATCCAAGAATTTAGAAGAACTATGATCATTCTATCACCAGATTCCAAGAAGATGCATCAGCCAACAAATTAGTGATTAACATTAAATTTAAATGAAACCTCAATTCAAATTAAGCATTCACATGAAAACTTTCATGCATTCGATTAACACACAATCGCTCAAATTTCATAAACCTCTAGAACCTAATCGATTTGTATTAATTTAATTCACCAATGTCATTAATCTTAGATCTCAAACCTGAAAATCTAAATCACTTTCCTTCAAAAGTTAATTACATACATCAACCAAATAATATGCAATCAAACGACTGCACAATTATCAATCCAAATGAATAACTTCATTCAAAATCATAATTACCAAAAGGGAAAGAAGGAAGAGATGAAAACAGATTTGTTGTTGAATGAATTGTGAAACCGATCCTCAAGAATGTCTCAGCCCTTTTTCAATCCTTGGATTAGATAGAAGTCTAAGCCTCCATTAATGGAGGAAAATGAAAGGTAAATATGTGAGAGAAGAGAAGAGGCAAAGAAGAAGAGACAAAAGCCCTAAAACTTGTATTTTCCTAAAGAAAAATAACCAACCCTTTTTCAACCTGCTGCCCTAAT